GGGTGAGTAGAAAATGAAGGCTAATCATGTTTTGGGTGTACTATTCCTTTAAAGACCTCTGTCTTCAGTACACTCATACCCCATTTACACTACCCTTGAAAAACCGTGCCGAGACCGGTCCGAGGTCAGTAACTGAGCTAACTTATCGTGTGTAAATGGAAAGCAAACTGAACTGAACCGAGCTAGACACAACCGGACCGAGATAACTGCAGACCAGTTCCAGAGGTGGGCTCGGCTCGGTTTTTCCCTGTCTTTGTTTTCTGATAACAAGAGCGCATGAGCAGAACGCGTCATCTCCGTCTGGCTGCACATCGTGATTCACACTTCATTCCAGTAGTTGGCGGTAATGCCCCTCCGGAAGTTGCTTTCCAACCAACACACAACAGAAGAAGAAGAACAACTATAAACAACCATGAAAGGTTGCCGTCTTCGCCTGACCCTCCGCAAACAACGAAGTACAGCAAAAATAATCAAGCATAACTTTCTAAATGTGACAGGCGCCGCCATTTTGATTTGCTTGATTCCCTCCTTCTTCGTCTTGTGTTTTATGGCGGTTGGCAAACAACGTTTGGTGCATTACCGCCACCAACTGCTTGATTTCCTCCTTCAATACTGGCAGTAATACCGCAGATCGTCACTAGGAGTCGAGGAACCGAGATAGCGTGATGTGTAAACGCTCGGCCTGGTTAACTGATCCGAGCTCGGACCGGTCTCGGCATGGATCGGTTTTTCAAGGGTAGTGTAAATGGGGTATCAGATCTTCATTCAATTATTTACACAATTTGTAGAGTAACTGAACTGAATGAGCATTCTTCCTTGAGTCGTTGAATCTTTTTAGCAAATTCTTAGTCTAAAAAAACTCCACCTTTGTGTAATCTAACGTTTTAAACTGTAAACACTTTTGTCAACACATCCCTCCTTCCCTTTTTGGAGCTGTTTCAGAGTAGCATAGAGGAAAAAACAGCATGACTTTTTGTTGGCAAAGACAAATGGAGACAAAATGTGCCTTGGATACCAAAAAATAACATAATGAGTAAAAAAAAGGTGTTTCAGTGATTTCTGCAGGTACATCATTAGAAATGCATTAGGTTTGCTCTGCATGGGGGCTTTAAGGCTTTCTGTCGGCCTTAGATGGTACCCAATCTTTCTGCAGCTGCGTCTCTGACTCCTTCATCCAGTTTAAGAAGCGGCAGTCCAGCCATCATTAGAGCAGCTGATGTGCAGAGAGCGTCAGCTCCTCAGCTATGAATAGAAGCAGGAGGCTGCAGAGGATCAACGCTAGCAGGCCAGACTGAATCTAATCAAATGAAGCGTGTCTGGACACACTCATTCAGAGTATATGGCCCAGGATATTGGACCAACGCTGCCCTTTCATCTAAAAACGCAATTACTGAGCAGTAATTGCGGTGGTGTAATAATAACGAGACATTAAGCAGTGTGACATCATGAAACTGTCGTCAAGAGCAACCTGACATTTAGAGTGAAGGATTGCCGTTTTTGAAGCGACAAAACGGGAAATTTGAATTTATGGGATAAAAATAACTAATATAATATGAAGAGAAATCTACAAATATGTAATTTTTAAGCAGAAATGATCAGTCAGATTTTTTTTCTCAGATTCATTAAGCAGAGCAGAAAGCCTGAAAAAAGGTGGATGATGACGAGTGATTTCTCAGATTAACACAAACATCTGGAACAGTTTGTTCTCTGGTGAGATGATGTTCCATCCTGTCTATTTCATAAAGCCAGTAATGATGAGATCAACCGAAATAAAATGGTTTCCAAGAAAAACTGCCCCAACATCCTAGAAACACAAACCCTTCCAGATTTTCTGTCCTACTATGATTCGAAAAGAGAAAAACTAAAAACCAATAGTTGCAACTAGAACTGAAATAATTAATCAGATTAATCGTGATTAATTGCCAACTTATTCAGTAATTGATGAATCCTTAAAAGGACTATATAGACTTTAAAATATGCTTTAGCAACACATTAAAATTCAAAGACTTTTTATATAAAAATACTGGAAATAATGCATAAAGCAGCGAACAAGTCTTCCTTCTGGTATTCAGAAATGATTTAAGTCAAGAGAGAATAAATATAATTTGTGAGGTTTGTTTATATTTGAATGTGCAAAAGAGAAGAAGCCAGATAAAGTCTAGATGTGTTTCAGTTATTGGTGTGAAAATGTGGAATGAATTGAATGATGATTTAAAGTTATGTCCTTTCTTGGTGAATTTTAAAAGGGCTTTAAAATGTAAAATGATAAAATCCTATGTTATGTAGATTTATATATTTATATACGCAGTAAAGAACCTGGTAGGTTGTAAAGGACAGAAAACAGGATAGGCAATAATAAGCTTTGCTTCAGCCTATTCCTTTTTTTTGGTAAATTGTTGGTTTTGTTTTGATATTGTTGTTTTGTTGTTTAATGTTGGATTATTTGCTAAAAAAATAAAGTGAAAGTTACGGAAGAGGATTAGGGCCACTGAAAAAAAAAAAAAGTTAACAGATTTTTTTTTCTTTTATTTCAGTATAGTATGGGGGGGGAAAAAAATCAGAATTCTGACTTTAATCTCAGAATTCTGAGTTTCTATTGTCAGAATAAAGTCAGAATTCTGAGATCAAAGTCAGAATTCTGAGATCGAAGTCAGAATTCTGAGAAAAAAGTCAGAATTCTGAGATCAAAGTCAGAACTCTGAGATCAAAGTCAGAATTCTGAGATCAAAGTCAGAATTCTGAGATCAAAGTCAGAATTCTGAGATCAAAGTCAGAACTCTGAGATCAAAGTCAGAATTCTGAGATCAAAGTCAGAACTCTGAGATCAAAGTCAGAACTCTGAGATCAAAGTCAGAACTCTGAGATCAAAGTCAGAACTCTGAGATCAAAGTCAGAACTCTG